GGGGTAAGTGCTTTTTTTTTTTTTTTTTTTTTTTTTTTGAAACAGCCTCTGTCAGTGCTAGTGCTGCTGATACGAGCAGACACCACTAGCACCGAGGGGTAGGCTCCATCTATTGGTGGGGAGCAGCACCTGCTGGAAACCGGGTCCAGCGTCCCATACACAAAACACATACAGCTCATAACCGAAAAAGTTGTTTAATGTGAGTGTGAGGCCTGCCAGCATTGATTACCCCGTCTCCCGGGGGATTGACTGAGCAGGTTTTGTGTAGCCCATGTAAAACGTAGTTAGAGGGCTCCTGTCCTCTGTATGTCGTCTCCTCCCTGAGCGGGCTCCGATGAACCATGGAGCACCTTGTCCAAAGTGTGGGAGAGTTGGTACTTGAGACTTGATTAAAACATGGGGTCCGCCTCTTCAGCTCTTCTCGTTGCCGCCAGATGATACAAGTACCTAGCAGACCTCTCTTCTGCAGATTGTGGTCCCAGCGGTTTGTCCTTTTGTGCACCCCTTCCCTCCCCTTATCCCTTCATGCCCCATACCATCCTAAGTCGACCACACTGTATGTCGGGGGGGGGAATGGATCTGGGAAGTCAGCCATCGGTCGCAGTGGAGTTGTAGGGTCTACCTTGGTCCACTCATTGAAGCGCAACCGATAGTCCTTGGTTCGCTCTTCCTTGTCTTTCTCTCTCCCCAATGCCCTGCTGGTTCCCCCCCGTTCCACCCTACCTATCCTCCCCCCGTCCTCCCCCCCAAGCCAATTTGTGCTGAAGTCTTGGATTCTTTGTTTTATTTCCTTTTGTGTGTGCATGTGGCAGATCTGTGTTTTCGTTGCTTCCCAGTGTGTTGTTATGTCTGTTTGTATTTGCTGTTGTATCATTTCTGTGAACTCTGGCCCATCCAATCTCACTCCCTCCATTTCGTATGTGCAGCGGCGTCTCCAGAGTGCCCAAATCACTGTCCGACGTCCTAGAGTGGCTCAGTGGGTAGGTGCCTGAAATTACTTGGTGGGTATGTGCTTGGAGTGGCTCGGTGGGTAGGTGCTTGGAATGGCTCGGTGGGTAGGTGCTTGGAGTGGCTTGGTGGGTAGGTG